TAGAGGAACGAGATGGAAGATGAGGAAGAGCCAGATGGGGAAGAACAAGATGAGGAAGAACAAGATGAGAGAGAAGGAGACGGGAGAGAAGCTGATAGGGGAAAGAACTAGATAGATGAGAACCTAGAAGGGACAGAACTAGATGAAGGAATTAAGATAGAACCTAGAGGGGACAGTAGATAAATATAGAGATATCAGGCAAGAAAGGAGCTAGACATGAGAACAGAACTGAAGCTGTGTATAAAGGATGTTATGCCAGAGGAATTAAAACAAGTGGATAATAGAGCTCGGTGTGCTGAGATTCTATTTCCTGAAAATAGTCCTCTCCGTTAGTAGTTCTCTCTCCTGAGCCCCTGGGATGTATAATATTGAGGCTGATTCCCCTAATATTATACAAGATCTCATCTCTTACTCTTTGTATGAGGAAACACACAGGAGAAAAGGCCTATAACTGTATTGAGTGTGGTATAGCTTTCAGCCAAAAGTCAAACCTTGTTAGACACCAGAGAATCCACACTCACTTCTGTTCCAAGGCGAGTGGAGGCAGGAGGATTGCTGGGGCTTGCTGGCTTCCAGCCTAGTTGAGAAAACATGAGCTTCAGTTTCAGGGAGGGACCTTGCCTCAAAGAAATAAGTGAAGAATAATGGAGAAAGGCATCTAATACCTTCTTCTGTGCTCCAGAACCCCACACACAACATAAGCATGCAGACTCTAGATGTACATAACAAATATTGATCCTTTAATCTCTTGAGATCTGCTGCATATATCATCTAAAATGTTTAAGTTTTCTGCAGTGAACCATGACCATGCCTAAACAGTGACCTTTGAAGTCTCCAAAAGGAGGATGGGGCCCAACAAGGATGATTCCATCAAGACTATGGTAATACCACTAAGCTGACAATCATCACTCAAAGATCAGCTTTGGACTACAAACTGCTCAGGACAATTTTGACATGGCTAGCTGAGATGATCCAGCCTTACAGACTACTCTAGCCAGGAGTTGAGACAAGCCCTGCACTTTCCCATTATACAGAGACTCGACAACAAATGATTCAGCTACCTCTCCCAGGACTTGACAATTAACCCAAATTTTTTCTTCCAGGATCCCCTAAAGATGCTGTTACCCCCAGACAACAGGAAGTAAACTTAAGAACATGATGCCCACATTCCCAAGAGGTGGGGTGGGTGGTTTTTGGTCATTCAATGGGTTATGGATATTTGTCATTGTTTAAGGTGACTAGTTACAAGTTGTTAATGGCAATGGTTAAAAAAAGAAAAAAAAAGGAAAAGGGGTATAGAAATTATAGGATAAAGGGTACATTATTGAATCTACTCTGAAAAGAAGAAAGGGGGGTATAGAGATAGGATAAAAAGGTAGATTATTAAATCTACTTTTAAACCAAAAAAGCAACTACTAGTTTTAAATATTTTACATTGATATGGATTTTTATACATTGATACAAATTTGAGATTATTTTGTTAGAACATACTGTACATACATTTCTTGTTCAAGGTATTGTACCTATGCAACTCATTTAACTACGTAATGCAAATTTTTAATCCTTGAAAGTTGTTATTACAAACTATTTAGGATAATAAAGAAATGCAGGTTAGTAGTTAGTCACCATTACAATTAAAACTTGTAGTAATATTAGGTTACTAGGTATGTTTTGATGACCAAACAGAGATATATTTTAGATAGACAGGTCATCTTCAAACACTTCGGAGATCTACAGAATATGGCATTTAAGATGTTTTAATAACATAGGTTATTTTTTTTTTATGACAATGAGACATGCCTGCTCCTGGCAGCACCAATCTACTTCAGAGAAGATGATAGGCATCAAAGAAACTCCATATGAAGTTTAGTTTTTTGTGGCAAAAGTTAGCTACTGGGCAAGAAAATGCCCTTGCTTCGACTGCTGACAGTATGCTCTCCAAACGGGACAAGCAGGACACAAAAGAAAGGCCTTTTGAACTTTGCCAAGACAAGGTAGGACAGCCCTTCAGAAAATCCTACTTCAAAGAGAATTGTGTCAGATATTCTAGGCTTGTAGGCCAAAGATGGATGCCCCAATGTTTCAGAGGAAAGTTGGGTGACTGTCCAGGCAGCCAGATGTTTCTGGCATTTCTCACATTTTTTGGAAGTCGCTTGCTTGCACTTCCTGCTTACTCAGGTAATATTATTTCCTTCTCAGGTCTCTGATGGAGTTGAAGACTTTATAGTTATAGTTATAGTTTTCCTTGTTACCAAATTCAGGAAAGAAATTTACTAAAGAGGTGTAAAGTATATAAGGCTGAGAGACATTAAAAGATAATTTTGGTAATGCAAGTTAGAATAGAAAGTGAATTAGGTACAACTTTTTGGACTCACCAAGATAGGATAGATACAGAGAGTATTCTCTCTGAATTTGTCAGTTGTAAATGGAATAGACATTGTTGATGTATGTATTGCTTGTATATATTGTATATAGTTATTGCACTTATTGTATATAGTTTCTCTTATAACCTTTTTAAATTTTAGACAAATAAAGGGAAATGTGATATCTTGTTTGTGCTCTAACAAATAAAGCTTGCCTGTAGATCAGAGTGTGGAGCTGGCCACTAGTTAACCATAGAGCCAGGCTGTGGTGCTGCACGTTTTCAATCCCAGCACTTGTGTCTCATGTCTTTGATCCCAGTACTTGGGAGGCACACACCTTTAATCCCAGCACTAAGGAGGTAGAGACAGGAAATGATATGGCTGGGTGGAGAGAGGAATATAAGGTGGGAGGAGACAGGAGCTCACCCCTTTCAGGCTGAGGAGTTGGCGAGGTAAGAGGTGGCCATGGCTTGCTCCTTTGTCTCTCTGATCGTTCAGCATTTACCCTGATATTTGGCTCTGGGTTTTTATTATTAAGACCAATTAGGATTCACACCACAGCTCTGTGAGGACAAAGTGCTCTGTTTCCCATGTGAGAATCACAAAGACAGGACTACTGTTCTTTTATCATCCTCATCTCCCCCTTGTGTGGGACAACTCACCTTTTCCAATATCTGATGAAAAGGCCATGCTGAAGTCAATCACAGGAGTCTTGACTTATATTAAGGATATGTTGCCAAAATCCAACAAAAACGAAGCCTTTCCTATGGCTGACATGGAAAGTTATGGTATAGCCCTTGCCATGCTTCTGATCTCATCTCCCACCCTTCTCTCTTTTGTTCCCCCTCTCCACACAAAGGTCTCCCTGTTGCTACTCAAACACTATGGATACCACTTGTGGTTTCTGCTTTTGCTTTTCTTTTTGTCTGAAATTCCCTTCTCTTGGGAATCAACATGACTCACTATCTCTCTATTCCTCCCTGTATTATTGTGGCTACAGAGGGACTTTGCTGAATTATTTTTATCTACACAGAATTCCTTCTGGTCACTACTTTCCCCCTAGCCTGATTTTGCTGTAGTTTGCAAGATTTATTATTTTTTTTAATTAATGTGTATGTAACCATGTGTCTGTTTGCCTGGTACATGTGTGTGAGTGCCAATAGAGGCCAGGAGTGTATGTCAGATCCCCTGAAGCTGGAGTTCAGGAGATCTGTAAACCACCTGACATGGATGTTGGGAACTGAACCCAGGTCCTCTGGAAAAGAAGCAAGGGCTCATAAACTGCTAAGCCATTTCTCTAGCTTCAATCCTGATTTATTTTTATTCTTACCATTTATCCCACACATTTTATTTTTTGTCTTCCAACCCAGGATTGAAAGATCTAAGACAGCTGGGATTTCTTTGGCTCTCTTGTACATTTTAGTAGTAGAACAATGCCAGAGCTATTGTAGGTGCTCAGGAATTGTTGTATAAGTCAATATAAGCCATATTGTGCATCCTGTAATATACATAGTGACATTATGCATGCCGCTCATGATAGCCTCATGTAAGCTTCAGAAACTGAAATGGTAGGTATTACTGTCCTCATTTTACTAATGAGGGAAATTGATGTTCAAGAAGTTTAAGCAACCAATTCTAATTTAAAAAATCCTTCACATTTTATGTGTATGGATGTTTTGCCTGCATGTATACCTGTGCATCATATCTGCGGTGCCCAAGAAGAGCAGAAGAGGGCTGTTGAGTGCTCTGGCACTAGGGTTTAGGTGTTGAGGTGTGACGTGGGAATCAAACATGGATCCTCTGTAAGAACAAGTGCTCTTAACCACTGAGCTGTGTCTCCAACTGCCTTCTAAGGGTTCAAATGAAGTATGATTTAAAAGCTGGTCTTTCTCATCCCAGTTAACATGACAATGTAGATGTGGGAAATTTCACAAGACCTCTCCCCCAAATGCAGAGCTACAGGCCATCAAAGGCCATTGAGAGAGGTAGAATAAGCTTTCTTCAGATATGAGACCCCTTGACAGGTTATCCAATCCCAAGATGTCAGCCCTAACACTAATGGACTCGCTAGGTTGTATGTGTGTGTGATTGTGTATAACAATAATAATAAGAGGTCAGGAATTCAAGAGTGGGAGCGTGAGAGGACTGAAGAGGGAGAAGGAAGAGTAGAAATTATGGAATACAGTGTAGCATTCCATCCATATAAATAATCATATATGAAATACTTTTTTTTCAAAGTTGGTCATTCAAAAAGCTACAATGATGTCTGGACAAGGTTGCACACACTGTTAATCCCAGTACTGGAGTAGCAGAGACAGACAGATCTCTGTAAGTTTGAGGCCAGTCTGGTCTACATAATAAGATGTGACCCTGTTTCATTAAAAAATAGCAATAATAAATAAATAGGCTGGAGAAACAGCTTGTGGATTAAGAGCTCTTGCTGTTCTTTCAGAGGACCAGAGCTTGGTTCCCACCAAGCTTGTCAGGCAGGTACCTACAAGCACACATACACATAAATAGGAAGAAATCTTTTCTTTAAAAAAGCTGTGATGTCTGAGTGGAAAATATTCAACAGGATCTGAGGACTGATGTGATCTGTGCCTTACAGCAGCATTTTCAGAAACAGCAACTGTCATCTTAATTGTGCCACAGAAAACCAGCCTGAGTGAGACATTGCCACAGCAACCTGCACAGCCGGAAGCATCCCAGACCTCTGAAAGCCAACATGTCTTCTGGAAATGGGAGAGTTGAGTCTGACCTAGAATTCCGGATATACAGCAGCAGCCAGCTGTCTTGAGGAATGCCATTTCCTTAATGTAATACAACTTGAAATAGTCTATAAAAATCCTCTCCAGACGGAGAGGAAAATCGCTGCACTCTTGTTGGCAGCTGGAAGGACCTTAAATGGCACTTGCCTAAAAGAACTGCTTTCGCCGGGCGGTGGTGGCGCATGCCTTTAATCCCAGCACTCGGGAGGCAGAGGCAGGCGGATCTCTGTGAATTCGAGGCCAGCTTGGGCTACCAAGTGAGTCCCAGGAAAGGTGCAAAGCTACACAGAGAAACCCTGTCTCGAAAAACCAGAAAAAAAAAAAAAAAAGAACTGCTTTCCAGTTTCTGTTCTATTCTGATATCTGTATCAGATATCATATCTGATAAACATATCTGATGAACATCAGATAAACATATTTTTGGTGACATGTTTCTAAATTTGAATTGAGCATCAGTCTTTGCAAAAAAAAAAATGTGTAATGGAAAAGACAGATTTGTATAGCTTCTAGACTGAAGGTCTTCAACTCCTGTCCTTGGTATATGACATTAGGCAAATCATTCAGAAGCTTTCTTTCCACATAGTTAAAACTGCAGGAGCCAACACACTTAGTACACAAAAGCATATCTTTTATTGTTTATATTCTATTTTCACATTTGAAAATGAAATGAGAACATTTTTCTTTATTAAATGCAAAAGTCAAAAGCAAAAACTTAGCTTACTTGGTACACCATTAAAAGAATTATAGACTAAGTCTCAGTACCAAAAATGACATAATTTTTGACATGGACAAACTAAGATGTCCAGTTCAGTGGCCTTACAAGGAAGAAGATGGACTTTCCTTCCTGAAAGAAACCAGTGTCAGTATGTTCTCACTACAATGTCTTTGACGCCATTCCGTAATTCACACCGAAGGGGAACGTCCATATCAAACCTCCACGACCTAAAATTCCCCAGTTCCAGAGATAATTCTCTCCAACATCTTCTGTTTTTAACACTCAAAATATGTGTGTTGGGGAGCAGGAACCAAAACGACTTTTAATTAGAAGCACGAAGGAGGTGGCTGAGAGACGGCTCAGCAGACGGGAGCGGGGCTGCTTTTCCCGAAAACCAGGGTTCTATTCCCAGCGTACATAGGGTGGCTCAGAACCATCTGTACTTCCGGTTCCAGGGGTCTAACACCCTCCTCTGGCCTCCCAGGGTACTAGACATTCAAATGGTGGACAGACAAACATTCAGGTGAAATACTCATACACATAAAAGAAAAAAATTTAAATATATATATATGTATATATATGTATATATGTATATGTATATGTATATATATATATATATATATATATATATATATATATATATATATATATATTTTTTAAAGCAAGAAGCCTAGAGCCAACTGCTTGTGTTTGAGTACTGGTTCCACCACTCATTATCCTCGTGAAGCTGGGCAAGTAATTTTAATTTCCCTGCACCTCATAACCACAAAGCAGATCCCAGCCCATCAGGTCCACGATCCCACCACACTCAATTTCTCACCCAGTCACACACAGAACAGCACACAGTTCATGTAAACACACAGAAACAGGCACACATAACGTCACAGTTTGCTCTCTGGGAAACGTAAACACACAGTAGCACATCACAAACCATCACAAGCGTTCGGTTTTCCTGTCAGTCACACACGAGAAACGAATACAGGCATGCACACCCACAGTGACACAAGATACCACACTGTCACAGCTGGAGCCTCTCACATGGTTATGCACAACAACACACTGACACATTCCCTCACACACACAACGCCTCGCGGGGTCCACTGGGTCCCCACACGGTTCGTCACTCTCCATCTCCAGCCAGCCCCTCACCTCCTGCTCCCGCCCAGCCTCACTCACCTCGCGGTGCCACAGGCTATGGAAACACGCTCGGTGATCCAGGCCCGTGACGTCACCGCGTGCGAGCAGGAGGGCTGAGGTCGGCCAGCGGTGCCCTCAACCAGCTGCTGAGTCCGACCCGGGAACTACCAGCCCCAGAGTGCTTTGCGGCGAAACGCTTTCCACTTTGCGCTTGTGCCTCAAGATGTGCGGCAAGTGCGAGAGCGCAGGGAACTGTAAGCCGCCCCAGACGAGCTCCCGGGTGTGGGTTGGTCTGTGAGGCGATGGTAAGGCTCTGCAAGGGCGTGACAGTGATTGAATGCCTGCCTGTGTGGTATGTGCTTTACTATTGCTGCACACCGTTGCGCGTGCGCACCAACGGGGGTTGGCTTCTGTCAGCTTACTGAGGTTCTGAATTTGAAATTACAGCCTTACAACTTGGAGTGTGTCACACCAGACTTGGAGTCACTGCGGGCGTGTAGAGTGACGGTCTTACCTTGTTTTTTGTTTGTTTCTGGGTTTTGGATTTTGGAGACAGGGTTTCTCTGAGTTGCCCTGGCTGTCAAGGAACTCGCTCTGTAGACCAGGCTGGCCTCCAACTCAGAGATCTGCCAGCCTCTGCCTCCTGAATGCTGGGATTAAGGGCCGCCTGGCTATTTTACTTAGAGAGTGACCATTTCTGTCTGTGTTACTGTTTGGGGTCTTTTGTTTCAGGGCTTGCACGTAAGGGGTGTGTGAGCGTGGTGTTTCAATTACTGTATTTTCAAAGTGTTTTTTTTTTTTTTTTAAGTAAGGTTTTATTTATGTGTATGAGTGTTTTGCCCGCATGTATGTATATGTACCATGTGTGTGCCTGGTTCCCTAAGGGGCCAAAAGAAAGCTTTAGGTTCCCTGGAACTGGAGTTACAGGACAGTTGTGAACTGCCGTGTGGGTGCTGGGAACCAAACTTAAGTTCTCTGGAAGAGCAGCAAGTGCTTTCAACTGCTGCGCAATCTCTCTGGTCCCTTAAATGAACTTTTAAAAAAGTAACTACCTGTATTATAGAAAGCAAAAACAAGCCAAGAATAGAGTCATCTTCAGTCACTAGGTCCTATCTGTGAGCACACCTATTCCATTTTAATAGAATCAATTGAATTCACCAATTCAAAAATCCTAAAGCTGGCAAGACATGGTGGCGTACACCTTTAATCCCAGCACTTGGAGGCAAAGATGGGGCATCTCTGTGAGTTCGAGGCCTGATCTACATATTAGCCAGGCTAGCCAGAACGAAATACTGAGAACCTGTCTAGAAACAAAACAAACCCTCCAAAAGCCACATGAGTATTCTGATAACCAATGTTACCAGCTTCTGATCCCTAGTGCTGGGATTAAAGATGTGTGACACCATATTTTGCCTGGCCCACTGATTAAAAAAATATATATATTTTGCCAGGCAGTGGTGGCATACACCTTTGATCCCAGCACTTGGGAGGAAGAGGCAGGTGGTCTCTGTGAGTTTTAGGCCAGCCTTGTCTACAGAGTGAGTTCCAGGATAGCCAAGGCTACATAGAAAAACCCTGTCTCAACACACACACACACACACACACACACACACACACACACACACACACACATATATATATAGTGCTACTTTATTTGTATACCCCAATAAAGTTTATCTGAGGATCAAGGACAAAGCCAGCCACTATAGTAAACATAGAGGTCAGGCAATGGTAGCAACTGCCTTTAATCCTAGCATTCCAGAGGCAGAGATTCATCGGATCTCTGTGAGTTCAAGCCCACTATGGGAACAGAGCCAGGCATGGTGGTATATACCTTTAATCCCAGCACTAACCATAAAGGTCTGGAGGTCTGTATAGAAGTGACAGAGCTGGGCAGGAAAAGGAAGTGATGTAGCTGGGCAGAGAGAGGAAATGAGATGGCAGAACAGAAAGGCATATAGGCGTGGGTACACAGGAAGTAGGTCTCTTTGGCTGAGGATCCCCAAGTGGTGAGAATGTGGCTGGCTTCGTTCCGCTTTTCTGATCTCTTGGTTTTAACCCCAATATCTAGCTCCTGGCTTTTTTATTAATAAGACCGTTTAGCACTTCATCTTACACACACACACACACACACACACACACACACACACACACACACGTATTCGGGTACCTGAGGCGTCCAGAAGAGGGCGTCGGATTCCATGAAGCTGGAGTTACAGGTGGTTGTGAGCTGCCTGACATGGGCGCTGAAATCCAAACCCAGATCTCCAGCAGAGCAGGTTTCCTTTGCTCTCGACTTCCAATGCCTGTTTCAGCTGTGGTTGAGTGCTGCTTGGGCTGAAGACTGTACTTTCATATGTCCTACTTCCCAGAGACAAATGTCCCCACAATCATGCCTTTACTAATAGGTGCTTTTGGGCAGCACCTACATTTGTGAGCCACTATTTTCAAGAATGAAGCACACCAAAAGTAGAACCAAGGTATCTGATGAACACTGAGGATTGTAACTACTTCGCTCAAACCAGACATTGATAACATCAGGTTATCAAATGCGGTGTCAAACATCCCATTGCTGTTATGTTGCCTTTTTTAACATTTATAAACATCAAAAATAAATGAAAAGTGGAGGCACATGCCACTTCGGCACTTGGGAGGCAGAGGCAGGTAGATCTCTGTGGGTTTGAGACTAGCCTGGTCTACAAATAAACTTCCAGGCCAGCCAGGGCTACATAATGAGGTCCTGTCTCAAATTAAAAATCAACAAACAAAAGAAGCTTTTATGAGTTCGTAAGAGTTATACTTCTTTTCCATCTGATTTTGTTATCCATTCAGTTTCTCTATAAAAATAACATTTTGTTTGGCATTTTCATATATTTTACAAAAAATCCTATTTTTTTTATGTTTTTTGTTTTGATTTGTTTACACATGTCACTGTGTAGCTCTGGCTGTCCTGGAACTCACTATACAGACCAGGCTGACCTCAGACTCAGAGAACTGCCTGCCTCTGCCTCCCAAGTGTTGAGATTAAAGGGGTGTGCTACTGCTGCCCAGATAATGTTTAAGACCCCCCCCCCCAGACAGGGATTCTCTGTGTTATTTTGGTGCCTGTCCTGGATCTCGCTCTGTAGACCAGGGTGGCCTCAAACTCACAGAGATCTCCCTGCCTCTGCCTCCTGAGTGCTGGGATTAAAGGTGTGCGCCACCACTGCCCCGCAATGTTTAAGTTTTGATTTGCTAAAAATGGCATGCTATCCTGATCACCCTTTAAAGTATTCTCTAAATGTTAGGGTGTTTACAAAGTTGTGCAACCTACATCTTTAATTCTACAGTTTCATTGTTCCTAAAGACAAGTCCTTTTTAAGTTCAAATATTCCCTTCAAATCTTCTTTCTCAGTGTCATTCAGCTATTTTACCACTAGAAACACTGAGTATCTTTTGTTTCTTAGCAAGTATTTTATAAGATTTCTTAAAATCATGTTACTGAAGACAGGGACTTGGCACACAGCACAACACGGCACCAGCATCTCCTGGCACTAGGGGTGTGAGCCACTACACCCAACTATTCACATTTTATGTAACTAACAATGTCTTCCTCCTCCAATCCCCTTTATTATGAAATAAGATGTAGATTTGAGATTTACTTCTTTAACTTGTGTCCAAAGTAAAGTTGTTTTAATACTCAGATATTTGATCCTATTGTTACTGTCTTCATGCCCTTTCCATTCTTTTCAGAAACTATGACCTGTTGTATAGCAATATCTTTTGAGATAAAACATTCCATCCTGGAGTATGTTCTATAGGGAGTGAAAATATTCCACTGTACAGGAATGCTCTTTACAAATCAACAAGTACACAACTCAAAAGCATTAGGTGGCCCCTGAAACTGATTAGATTCCCCGGGTTCCTCTTTTTCCAAGGTTATACAAGCAGTAAGGACTGACCTTACTGAGCAGCCTGGAAGGGGTCATCTCTAACTGGTTCAGTTGCTTTCAAATTGTACAGTGAGTTCCATATTTTCACCTTTTGTGAGCTGTCCCCCATCCTGGGATGGGCTTCCTGAGATGCAGCTGTCTTTGAGTTATTTCTGCTCTTGGAAGTAATCCCACACCTGCACTCCTGCGTATAACTCCAATAAAATTCATTGGTTCACCAGGTGAACTTTGATAACATCCTTACTTTGCTCTATCACTGCTTCTCGATCAGAATAGACACTTGCTTATACCTTCACCAGGAATACTGTCACATAATACTTGCATGTTTTCTGCTTTTGGGGAATAAAGAAAAAAATTCTCATCTCTTCCTGCTGTTCTGACAGCTGTGACTTCAACTATCTACTAAAACCTTCCAGAATTTCAGACCTATATTATTTGAGCAACATTAAAAATTAAGTCTTAAGCGGGATGTAGTGGCCCACATTTTTAATCCCAGCATTTAGAAGGCAGAAGCAGGCAGATCATTGTTTTCCAGGATAGCCTGGTCTACATAGTGAGTTCCAGTCCAGCCAGAGCTACAAAGTAAAACATGTCTCAAAGAGACAAAAAGACAGGCAGGAAAGGAGGAAGGGGAGGCGGGGGTCGGGGGAGAAGGGGCCAGCTAAAGAAACCCTGACCCTGGAGCCCAGAACCAGTAAAAGAAACACAGCCTAGATCTGGGACCTCAGCCAGAGAAAGAAACACTTTATCCCTGAACCCAGAACTAAAGAAACATGCCCTGACTCTGAGACCAGTGCCAAAGAAACACACTTTGTCCCTAGAATCAGAGCCGGTGAAAGAAATAGGCCCTGGCCTTAGAATTAGAGCCAAAAGCTAAAACGGCCAGCGAAAGAAACAGTTTGGCTCTGAAATCAGGGCCATCTCTGCTTCTGACCAACTGATCAGTGAAACCAACCAACCAGAGAGCAGGAAATCAAGCACCCTGACCATGGAGCCCAGAACCAGAGAAAGAAACACAGCTTGGGTCTGGGACCTGAGCCAGTGAAAGAAACGCTTTATCTCTGAACCCAGAACTCAAGAAACACACTTTGTCCCTGGAATCAGAGCCAGTGAAAGATATATGCCCTGGCCTTAGAATTAGAGCCAATAAACTAAGAAAGGCCAGTGAAAGAAACAGTTTGGCTCTGAAATCAGGACCATCCCTGCCCCTAGCCCACAAAACCAACCAATCCCTGAACAGAAAATCTTCCCCCTGGAGAAACTCCACCCCTAAGAAATCCTATATAAACCTACTGCTTGTTCAGTTGTTGGCTGTTTTTTCCCACCCTGGTAGAGGAAGCCACTCTCCTGGACTCCTCCTTCCCTGCTGCAGGCTGCAAAAATATATGAAGTAGGAATTCAGCTAATTATGACAAAACTAGACCTGGAAAAGTTAAGAACTCTCCCGGAGGATGAGGCCAAGACTCAAGGAGTTTTAGTGATATTGGCTTCTGATTATTAGCCATTTCCTGCTATGAATTTCTCGTGTGCTATTGCAGCTTTCCCATCATCCATTGGGCACAATTTCCCCTCTACAATGAAAGTGTTTGTGTAACTTTCTCCAGCTGTGCTACACCAGACACAGTCAAGATCCCTAATTTCAGGCCCCTCTGTAATTATTGCCATTAGCAGCATCCGGCCAGGACCATCCTCGGATGGAGAAAAGTATCTTATCTGAGATACCTCACAGATTCTCTAAGAACAGAGTTAAGCATCCAGACTATCTGAGAAGGCCTGGCGGATGTGCTAATTAAGCTTAACTTTCTCCTTTCCAAAGTCGTATCTCTGGTTTTAGATCCACCCTTAACAATTAACTCAGAACCAAAGGGTTCGTATTTGCAGGTCCATCTAGCTATGGCAGAAGTTGCCTAGACAAGTTGCCTAGTGACTGACCACACTTGCCAGAAACTGCGGGAGCAGAGATAGCTTGGAGAGATAAGGGCCAAAGGGATAAGGGCAGTTTTATTTTCACAGATAGGATGGAGAAGAAAAAAGAGAATAGAAGAACTAGATGGTTTAGAACTGGAGAAGAATGAACTGAGATGGAAAGAACTAGATGGGAAGAGAACTAGATTGGAGGACTAGAAGAGAGAATTAAAAGAACAAGATGGAAGACGAGGAAGAGCCAGGTGGGGAAGAACAAGATAAGTAAAAACAGGATAAGAGGTGAGATGGGAGAGGAGCTAAGATGAAAAAGAACTAGATGGATAAAAACTTGGATGGGACAGAACTAGATGAAGCAATTAAGATAGCACTTAGAGGATACAGCAGAAAATGTAGAGAGAAATCCAGCAAGAAAGGAGCTAGACATGAGAGCAGAATTGAAGC